ATTGAAACAATATGAGTTACAGTGTACATAATAATATAATTATATCTTAATTATACAACGTATATATAATTATATCTCAATTAAAGTTACAAGTGAAACAATATAAGTTAGAGTGAAATAATATATAATTATATACACAGGAAAAAATTATACGTGGACAATTTGATAAGTCAGTGCTTTTTAAAAGGAGATGTTTTGAATAAATCCAATATTTTGATTACAAAAAATTAAGAAAGTTATTGACTTAACAAACTGTTCTCATATATATCTTCTTCTTTCATAGGATTGCGACAAAGTCGCTCATGACCAAATTCTAATGAAGGGTCTCTAGCTGATTACATATCCTTCGTATTTTTTCAGGAAAAGAAATCATAAAGAAGGGCAGTTGATTCTTCTCATCCATACGATCGAAATCGACATGGCGAGACAACAGACGGTAGACCGAAACATTCCTCATCTGCGAGACATTTTTAGCTTCGGCAGCAAATGGGAGAATGCTCGCGGGCAAGCCGAGGAGAAGGCACCTGGCCACGATAGCGCCGTGTCAGTGGGCTCCACATCCGGAGAGGAGGAGAGTCCGAAGAACAGCAAGAAGAAGAAGTCGCGTCGCCGCGACAACAGCAAGACGCTGACAGAGAGCGACGTGAAACACCTGGAACGGCATCTCTCTATGAAGAAAACTATACGCAAAAAGATCATGCGTGACCTGCAGCAGGCCTTCGTCGAGGATCCGAACGAGTTTCGCGTGGATGACATACCGCCTGAGCAGCTCAAGGCAGAGATCAATATCCAGAGTCTAAGCTTCGGCACGCCGTCCCAGAAGCAGGGACGCACGCGTGGCAATGCTGAGAGCACGTTCCTCGACATGCTGCGTGGTGGTGGTAAGAAATCGCCTGTTGTTTTATTAAAATTCATTCTTTAACACACTTTTATTCATTTATTGACAATTATATTTTTAACGGTATTAAATTTTTTTAACGGTATTAACATTGGACCACAAAAATTCAATTATTTTTAATTATGTTAAGATCCTTTTAAAATATAATAAGATAGAAGATAATTTATTTTAACCCCCTAATTCGCTCCAAAATTTCGTTAACTGGTATTCGTGTACTGGATCTAGTGTACTTTAAATTGATGTATTTTGGTGTTAAAGTTAATGTAATTGAACAATTAGTTTATTTTGAAAATCAAAATTCGAAAGATAATATTATAATTTAAAATTATGTATATCTAAGGTTGTAAAAAATTATAAGCAATTTTTCATAACATACTTGAAGAAAATGTCCGGTCCACTAGGTCCTTTAATACTCATTTAATATAATATAAATTAATGTAATATAATATAATATAAAATCTCAGGACAAATTCCTTCATATTTAAACGCAAAAAAGAATAGTCTTTGATACTTTTAAAGTAAATCTTGTTCTAAAGAGTTAAGTTTCATTCTTAAAGATTGAAAATTGAGCCACTCTTATTCAAGACTGGCTCAATTACACTGTTTAGAGGTTTAGAGAATTAAAAAGTATTTATACATTTCAATTTAAAGTATATTTTAGATTTTAATATAAACTTATGTTTTGCAGGTCTGGAGAAAAATGGAACGGATGGTGACAGAGATTCAGGACACGGTGGATCTCCAACCAGAGAGGCGTCCAGCGCCCAGGATACAGATGATGAGTCTAGCTATGCATACGAAGCGCCCACCGCGACGCCCACGAAGAAAAGCAGCAACTTCTGGAGACGCTTCACTATGAAAAATCGCAATAAACGATAAATCCGCGGCAGAAATCCCAACGCGAAGAGAGAGAAAGAGAGAGAGAGAGAGAGAGAGAGAGAGAGAGAGAGAGAGAGAGAGAGAGAGAGAGTACCGATACTTTATATTCTCCGTCATCTCGATAATTTTTACCAGCGTAATTAACGAGGCAGAGCTTGCAACTGTGATATACATAAAACATAAAAACCAATCATCTTCACATCTCCCTCTCCCCCAAGACAATCCATCCGTCGAATTTTAAGAGGTTCCCGAAATTCGATCCGCATACAAGACCGAGGACCAAGAGATTTAATGTACAAATTTCGGACCAGCATTTTTATCATTTGCCATGACATATCATCAGACATATTTATTGCGGACTTTAAAAGGCAATATATCTTTCTTAAATTATAAAATAAGGAAAATTCAGAATAAGAATTCAATAAAAATGCAATAAATGTGAAAAAAGCGTACGACTTTCTATTTTGACAAACGATACAAATTAATGTTATTTTGCATTTAAAATATAATTTTTCGTAGTTCGATTTTAATAAACATTTAAATTAGTGAATATCGGAACGATGAAATATAATGATTCGCAGGTTTAGCTTCATTTTATTACATAAAATGATATGGACTCAAGCTTCGAAAAGAAAGAGAAACGAGGGAGTAGCTAGGACAAGCTGTTTAGATCTCTCTCGTCTGAACAATTTCGCTCTACATATACTTCTTTGAAATATCGGAGGAACTTCTTAAAACTTTCCAATCTAAAATGTAACGATCGATGTGCCCGATAATATAACTCCCATCTTCTGACACGTACTTAAAGGCAATGTAAAGAGTAAAAACGGAGGCAGCGAAATACGAATACGTGTGTAGTATTTAAGGTAGTTAATTTAATTTTTCTTAATGTGTAAGAATGCGGCAGTTATAGGTGATCTGTAATAAGCATAAAGAGGTGCGTACAATGTGCGCACCAGTTAGTATTAGCTAGTCAACGATGCTAAGACGTATACCCGTGAGACCTGGTCGATTTTCTTACTGGCAAAATTTGATATCTCTTCTTTGTAATGAATTTGAAAGTGAAATATTTTTTAATTACTTTTACTACCAGTTACGGAAAAATTCATAGCCTCAAGGCTTCTCACCTGAGAAACGCATGTATCATGTATGTAAGGAACACATGTATGTAAGGAACTTACTGGATTACGTCGTTTAAGTGTGACACATTGCATTTTTTTTTCGCTCTAACTTAAGCTATGTTGATGTTTACCGAAATCCTGTTGTTCCTACCACTTTTCGAGGTATCTCGCTAGTATTGTAAGTAACGTCATCCGCGACGTCGATAACGGTTCACGTATTCTCATCTAATCTTCACTTTCTACTATGGTAATAATAATATAATTATTATTATTCCTTTTAATATTAACTGCAACGCTATATATTAGCTTTAAATGTATTATATTCGAAATCCACCTTATGTAAGAACAATAATATACTCGAATAAAAAAAGTCTCATTTACACGTTACGCTTTTTCTTACATCAATCGTTTTATGCAAAAATTTATTGCGGCATAAATGTGTACATGTCGTAACAAATATAACAGATAATATCTTATGTCTAATCTCTTAATTAAGGAACATTAGGTAAATATTTCCTTTTTTAACTTTTTTAGGAAGTTTTTTTCAATTCATGATGGAAAGATCATTCAATCAATTAAAGGCAAAAGGCAAGACATTAGACAGGGGTTTTCATTACAAAAATGCAGTATAAAAATATTTTAAAAAATATTCATCAACACTTTTGTGTTCCTTTTCTCTCTTGCAGATATATATAATTTAAATCTATTGATTTGTATATCTCGGTGAGCGTTTCTCCAGGAAAGCTGCCATTCCTTCTTTTCTATCCGCCTGAAGGAAAATGCAAATTTAACTTATTAATCTTTTTTTCACCGAATATTTAGATTATTGATAAACACAAAAGAATTTCTCACCAGAGAGAAAGTGCCGTGAAACAGTCTTTTTTCAAATAGAAGTCCCTGTTGCAATGTGGTTTCGTATGCTAAAATTAATAAATCATAATTAGATACATTACGAACCCATTAGATCACATCGAGAATTATTTGAGTAATTTTTTAAACATTTTTTTTACCAGCATTAACAGCTTCCTTGGCTATCGCGATAACTAACTGTGAGTGAGATGCGATTTTTTCGCCCAATTTGACTGCTTCTTCGACGACTTTGTCAGCTGGAAATACTTTACTGACCAGACCTAGATAAAATAAAAAATAAAACTAATTTTTTTTAAATAAAACATTGAACGTTTTAATTTTATGAAAAATATGAGCAACAGAAAATTTAGATTGAAATTAATGAAAAAATAAAAATAATTTAACATAAAAAATATATGAAAACAATTTTCAAATAGAATTTATGTTGAAATTAGCGAAATAACGTATAAATTCCTTCCGATTGCAATGAAATGTTAACTTTAATTCTTGTTAATGCGAACTTACCACTTCTCTCAGCTTCTTCCGCGGAAATCATATTGCCGGTGAGTACCATTTCCATAGCCGTACTTTTGCCGACGATCCTGGTTAATCTCTGCGTGCCGCCCGCTCCGGGAATGGTGCCAATGGCAATTTCTGGTTGGCCGAATTTGGCTTTATCACCGGCGTAAATAATATCGCACATCATTGCGAGTTCGTTTCCTCCACCCAACTATAAAGAAGGGGAGCACATGTCATTGAACTATTTTATCCATCGCATTGTTTTCAGCATCTGTCGCAGATAACCAAAGACATTACTTACAGCGTAACCATTTACAGCAGCAATTATAGGTTTTCTGCTTTTAGCAACTCCGTTCCAATTAGCTATAAAGTTCACCTTTAAATTCGATGCGAATGAGTTATCTTTCATTTCCTTGATGTCGGCACCTATGAGAATATAATTTTTTTTTATGTTAAAATAAAGACGATAAAAGGGAATCAATATCATGAATTTAATTGCTCGAAGAACATACTCGTATTTAAAGAACTGTACGTAAAATAAAATTTGTGTAATCTTACCAGCAGCAAATGCCTTTTCACTTCCGGTAAGGACAATGGCGGCGATAGATGAATCCGAATTGAAATGGTCCAAAGCTTGATTTATTTCATTCATTAACTGATCACACAATGCATTTAAAGCTTTTGGCCTGTTCAAGGTGACAACGCCTACATTTTTCTTTTCACCTGCAGTCTCGATTTTGATAAACTCATAATTGCTGGTTTGGCCTGTAAATAAAAAATCGGACCAAGGTTTTTTATTTTAAAAATAAAAACATTTTTTTATTAAAAAATAAAAAATAATACTTTTTATTAAAGGATAAAAAGTTATAAGAATTTATTAAAGAATAATTAGTTCCTGAAATAGTTCTTGATTAGTTCCTGAAATAGTGATACAAAAAGAAAACAAGAGATTATCGTTGCATCGAGATTACGTTTTATCAAAAAAAGATTAGAATGTATTATGACATTTCTGTAATGACTGTACTGAAATATATAATTAATTATATTTAAATCTCAGGCCTGACTTCATAAATGTAAGATTAACTTTAATCTCGGTTTAACTTACTACATATTTATATTTTCCTAATTCTTAATGGAAACGAGCCTTAACTTTCTACGTATTATGTAATCAAGAACGATCATCAACGTAAAGATAACTGCAAGAATACATTGGGCAATGAATAACAAGGTCTGCTACATGTACAAGATGTCTCAAAAAGAACGGATATATATTTTTTTTAATTTAAAGATAATCTTATTGTTAACAAATGAAAATTATTAATGAATAAGTTTCTCTTAAAAAAACCTTTTTATTGTTTATTACATCACTTTAACATTGAATTGTTTTTTATTTCTTCTCCAAATAAAAAATAAAAATTATTTAACACATAAATTATAAATTCCGATTGAAAAATATCAAAAAAATAAGTACGTTTGATTTATTCATGCGTTCGAATGAAAACAATGAAATGGCATGTTTTCTGCGCTTGGCGTATTTAATCTCGATTAACCCCCTCAACAGTGTTACAGATATAAATTAAGAATCGCCATATCACACGAGATATCTAATTTTAAAATTGCAATTTCAAAATCGAAACAAGACTATTTCAAAAGTATATCTATAAAATTGATATATTATATATAATTATATTAAATTTATCTATTTTCTTAATATATAAATAAATGCCCGAGATGACTTGTGTTATTTTTTAAAAGTAATAATAATCATTTAATTTTTTGTCACGTATAGTTAAAGTATCATTACTAATATAAATATGGCAAATAATTCAATTTCTTCTTATAAAATCATGTGATTTTGAGAGTCACAATAAGTCATACGCATATAAATATATAAATGCACGTTACAAAAAATAATTATAAGAAAATTATTTTGGGCTAAGTTCCATTATTCGCGTTATATACACGCGTATATATTATAGATTCAGTACTTGCAGTGAATAACGGAATTCAGACTTGGTATATGATTGAAATTAATATAGTATGTAAACAATTCTTTTTTATAGCTTCAGAAACAAGTTTAGTAGCATAATGCAGCGATTATACCGGGTGTTTCCTACGAAACTGACGTTCCCGACGTTACGGCCGCTGGTGATAATCGATCCGACGGAGAAGGGCTCTGTGCTCGCAGGTATATTCGGATACTTACAGGAATAATACCTGTAGACAGGCACGGCGAATTGCTGCGGCTTTCGGGCTACGTGCGACACGCGAGAGAATAGAATCTGCGATATACGGCTGACAGACATGTTGATCGTTTAAGTGTCCGTGAATAAATGTAAATTACGACAACAAGTTCGTAGGCTGTCTGATAATATCACGCAATCCTGCCAACTATCAGCGGAAATATCACTGGATCTTATACTTCCAACTAAGGCTAGAAAATAATGTAACGTTCGAATTACCCGCGTTTTGTGTCCAAACAGTTCAAATCCGCAAATTCGAAAATTTATATTTAAATCGTAAGGAAACTAACATGCCAATTTTTCCTTTTTTATTATAATCATATGTATCATTTATTATATGTATTTTGTATAATAATAAGAAGCATCGTGTATATCGGCGCAATATATTTAATGATATATAATTATTAGTAATTAAATTATCAGAAGAACATAAACGGCAAGGAGATTGCAATAACTAAAATTTCGAAAACTCTGAATTTCAAGAATTAAGTTTTCTATTTTTCAAGATTTTTTTGTGTTTCTACATTCTACAAATTTTCGATAAAAAAATATAGAATTAAAAAAATTAAAATATCTTTTTACACAAAATAAATTTTTATAAAAAAAAATGAAGTATGTAATAATTTATCGCTATTGTAACTATTTTTGAAAACATAAGATGCAATAAAAAATAATTCCTTATATAATTTCTAAATTTTGTTGTATAATTATAGAAAAAAAGTCATCTTACTTTCTTGTAACTCAATGCGATACGTTATTTAATACGTCAATAATTTGTATTATAAATAATTAAAATATAAAAAGGACCCAAATGGCAGGATTCATTAATAATTTCAAGAATTTCTCAAATTCTGTGTATTTTCCTATACATATAAGAAATATCTACAAAGTATAGAATTAAAAAAAAAAATGTTTTTACGATTAAAATAGATTTTACAAAAAAGATAAAACATGTGTAAGACTTTACCTAATTAGTAATTATTCTTGGCAATAACAGACCTGATAAAAAAATAATTCCTGTTGTATAACTGCAGGAAAAAGCGGTGTTTCTTGTAAATCGATTAAATTAATACGTGAATAATTTGCATGAGTTTACAAAAACGAACAGCGCTTGAGCCCGCGGTTCCGAATCAACGAGCCGCGACAATGATCGATGATCCATACGATGACTACGACATGTAAGAGAAAAAAAGAAGAAAAAGTGAAAAAGATGATCGTCTCATCACGCGGTGAAAGTATCCGATTCAGATAGGAATTATAGTGGGGAAGAGAGGGTGGAGAGGGAAGAAAGTCACCCCGGACAGGTAACAGCGGCTGACGGCACATTGGCATCTTGGCATTGAGCGAACTTGAGTTTATCGCCAGTTCACGGTCGTTCGTCCACGCTTACCGTTTCCACGGGACCATGCGTTCGATTCTACTTCTCACGTTCTTGGCGAACGTTAAGCTGATGAGCAATGCAGGTGAGAACAAACTGAGATACATTGCGATTTCGCACGGTGATCCATTAGTCTGAGATGATAAGGGAGTTTTTATCGAAAACGAGATATTTCAAGTCATAAAATCAGATTCTCTGGTTTTTAAATAATTTTGATGTTTCTGAAAATAATTTAATTACAATAATAAATATTAGAAGTTTATTCTCTCATTAAAAGTGTCATTTGGATTTTTGTGGACTGATGACGATATTTTCTTTCAGATTAAAAAATGTGCGCAATCATGAATCTATTAATAATAAAATAA